GTAACTACTGAAAAAAAAACTGATAATGAAATCGGATGGCTTAAATAAAAAAATACGCTTTACATGCAAAAATGGTTACTGAAACTGCTGCAACTGGATAGATGGCTCGACGGTGCTGCATCGCTTCTGTGCTGTTGCAAACTACTTTTTCGGGTTTATGAGACGGTGCAAAAACAACCGGCTTAATTTTCAAAGTGTAACTGCGATTTTATGTTACACGTCTGGAACACAGTTATTTTAGCGGTTACGTTAAATACTGACCATCCCTATCTACAACTACTAAAAGTCTTATGCAACAATTTGATGATACTTGAAGTTAAATGGCAATTAAACTGAACGGATGTATGCTATACAGAATAAATAAGTTCTATCCAATTTTTTATTCAGTGAATATTCTTTCGATGCGGGAGTTGACCTAGATAAGCGCCTCAAATATGCGCAAATCGAAATTACTCTTGTTCTTAAAGTGAGGACTTTTGATAGGTTTCGAATGATTTCATTTGCAATAGAGGAGCAGTTTGGGTTAGTTTGGGTAAATACGTTCTACTTAATTTCGTTTTTTTAGTCGCATTTCTTGTTGAAAATGACTTACGAACAAGAAAAAAATCGTGGATTGTTCATAAAACACTTGGCTTTCTCAAAACTACTTATTTACGCCCGAAACTGAGATTGTCTGGTGCTATTTGCTGCTAAATTGTGCTTTAGTTATTAACAATTCATAACTCCAAATGCAAGTGTCGCTAATATGTATAATAATTGTGTTTCTCGCAAAAGTCTGAACATCTTTTCTAACGTCGCCCATTGATTGAGGTTATCTAGCGCGTCGATGACAGATATTATTTTCTTAACCATCCGCGCCAGTCCTGGCTGATTGCGCATGCGCGTCTCGCGGCTATGTTGCCGCTATGCACATATTTGGTTTTTAACCGCCTGGCCTTGCTCGAATAGCGACGCCTAACCTCAGAGAAAGTCGTGTGGCGAACTCTATGCGCCAATTCTCAAGTAGCAGCTCCAGCCGAAATGCCAGCTATATCTCAACTCATCTCACCCACAACTGCGCCGTTTCGGTTCAAATACAACTTCTAATACTAAATACTGTATCGGACGTATAACCTAGGGTCTACCATGGGCCTACCTAACCCTTACTGACCCCTGAGTCCAATGGGTATGCCCGGGACGAAACGCATGGTGCTTCAACGAGCTCCATAGTCGTTTTTTTAAAATTAATTTTTTCTGGTTAATGTTTGTTTGTGTTTCAGATGCAATGTTATAGGCGAAAAAATGTTATGCTGCATATTTTTCTGATTTTCCACAACCGTAATTAAAGTGAAGGTCATAGACAACATTTAAATATATCTGTTCATTAATTTAAAAAGGAGAAAACAATCAAAGACAAACAAGATCCATGACTATTAAACCTCCAAGAATCCGAATCTCTACTGCGGGAACTAATTGTTTAAATCACTAACGATGTAATTAGCATGAATTTCAGCAACAACCGCAGAACTAAAAACGTGTTAGAATCCACAAGAAAAAATATCTGCGCGTCGATGGTCAGATGACTATTTGCATATTTTCAGACTTCAGCAGTGCGGGGTTGCCACGTATTTTTCCGTTGTGTTAGTGTTAATTGAAGTAATTTTTTTAATGAAATTTAAAAAATGTATAACAATTAATAGGTAACCTAAAACGACTTAAATAATCTAAACCGACCCAAATTGAATTAATCTACATGCTTGGTATCCACGGAAACAATTTTCATTAGCTTAAATCATTTTGCACAGTGTGGCAAAACCGCTCAAAATTTAGTCTAAAAATGGCAATTTTCTTGATACCTATACGTTTTTTGTGAAGCTCCGGTAGAAAGAAAATTTCAAGTGTAGTGTTCTGTCACCGAAAGATTTGAAATAAATACCTATGTACCTACTCATCTAGAAATGTTTTCAGTAAAGTAGACCATCCTGTACATATTGAAGAACTTTGAAATTTATATTGTGCGTTGTAAGTAGAGTTGAGCAACAAATCGCTAACTCTTTTTTCACAGCAATTAACAATTCGCAATCACATCTGTGATGAACGTAAAAATAAACTCTGATTTAAAACGTGATTGACCCAAACCTGTAATTTTTTTTGGGTCCTTAAAATAATTTGTATTTATACCTAAATATATGATATGATTTACACTTTTGTTATACGCATTTGGTGTATACCTAATATATGATATTTATGGCGCTGCTATATCACGGAAACGGCAACCACAAGTGAAGTCGCACCCCGATAGCACACAAATATTACAGTAACATTTTTTGCAATATTTAATGTAGGTCTGACGCGACAGATTCTTATACAATCGGATTCTGCCCAATTTTGCCCATTTAACGGATTCTCTATGTTTAAAAATGTAAAAGTTACAGATACAAAGATTCAGAAAATGACCTGTATATTTAAGAAATATTTATTTGACATTTAACTCAGATATTTAAGAAATATATTTTTTGAATGAAAAACATTTGATTCTTTATAGGCTTAGCTGCCTTCAAAATTTCATATTTTTTGAATTACTCTAATACAGTTAAGTAATACCGTTATATGAAATAGACGATATTTTTATTTATTTTCGACAAATTTTGTTAGTCTGGTTCAATAAACACCATATTTTCAGCAGTTAATAAGGGTCTCAGGTTTTAGTAGTAAAGAGGATTTACTTTTACGTGCCCTTACTTTTCTGCTGCGGGAACGCAAAATTAATTTTCGACCTTACTTTAATTATTTGAATTAGGCAACCTTTATTATTTTCAAGTAATAAATCGATTCCAGGAATTATTTTAATATGCGGTTTAGTTAATTTTTTCCTGTGCTTTTTAATGCGTAAATGCGTGTAAAATAACTTGATGGAAGTATGTATTTGATTGGAAGATTGTTTTTATATCACATATTGTAGAGTTTCTATTGCTCTTTCAATTGATAGTAAAAACTTTACTACAGGTTTCTTTGAATTAAGCGGTTTGACTCTCCCCCCACGCTTTATTTGACAAGTTATGAAAAAAGTTCATAAGGAAAGTAGTACGGTTTTTTATGATCTTTTGACTGACTAGATGTTTCACTTATAGGGACAATTTCTGTATAAAATCGACTTTTTAAAATACCGTTTGCAATTACGCCATCTAGTGGTCATCTGAGAAATTTAAAAATAATTTCCAGCAAATGCTTTTCTTCAAGTTTGTTATCAAATTTTTTTCCGATCACTCTGCATACTTTCCAAGATACAGTCGCTTACCATCCTTATTGCGACATCCTGTATACTGTGGATATACATTAAATAATAAATACAATTTTTTTTCATAATATTTAAAACATTTTTCTTTTTGCTATGAAATACAGTAAAGTCCGCTTATAATGAACCCGGGTATAGTGAACTTTCGGTTAAAACGATTTTTTTTCCTTTAATTGAAACGTCGTCCATAAAGA